TCTTCTCACCCATAATCTCTTTGAATTAAGAGAATAAAGAGATGCATTTTCGCTAGGCTGAGCTCTTATATTTTCTCTCTTAATCAGTGTAGTCAGTGGTCTAGACATCAGGAACTCACAGCACACAGGACAGCAGCCAAGCTTCTGGTGTTCCTGAGTGTGGAAGAGGTAAGGAGGGTGCCCATTCATTGATGCATTTATTCTACAACAATTTGCTGGGGCTGCAGAGATGAAAAACACTATTTACCACTCCAAGAGTGGTTGACACAGAATATTTTGGTAGTGCCTGGGTAGAAGAAATTACCCTAAAGAAGTTGGCATTTGTGCTGGGCCTATAAAGTTGGAACTTAAAAGAAAAGGAAAGCTCATGAGAAACAGCACCATGCAGGTCTTAAGAAACGGGTTCTAGATTGACACAGACCTAGGTTTGAATTTTATCTGTCTCTTTTTTGCTGTTAAGGCCACCTGGGTGGTACAAAAAGGTAAGAGCTTGGCTACTAACCAAAAGGTTGGTGACTCAAGTCCACCCAGAGGTTCCTCGAAAGAAAGTCCTGGCAATGTATTTCCAAAAAATCAGCCATTGAAAACCCTACAGAGCAGAGTTCTACTCTGACACACATGGGGTCACCATGAGTTGGAGTCAACTCAGCAACACCTGTTTTTTGTTGTTTTTTTTTTCTTGCTGTTGACCTTGTACAAGTTACTTATGTTTTCTGAGTCTTGATTATGTTGCCTAAAAAATGAGCAAAACAGTACCTAATATATATGGGTTTATAGTGAAAACTAAAGGGAATAATATATGTAAAACATGTAGCACAGTGCCTAGCATATAAGTTCTCAAATATAATGGCTATTATTGTTGTTATTATTATTATTATATGGTTTTCAGCAGTGTTTTCCAGTTCTTGCCTCCATCAATAATCCTTCCCTCAGACGTCAAGCTTCTTTTCAAACAGTTTTGTTAGATAGAATTCGCATACCATATAATTCACTCATTTCAATGTACAATTCAATGGTTTTTAGTATATTTACAAAGTTGTGCAACCATCACAACAATCTAATTTTAGAACATTTCCATAACCCCAAAAAGAAACCCCATACCCATTAGCAATCATTCCTAACCCTCCCCACCCTACAGCTCTAAGCAGCTACTTACTGTTTCTATAGATTTGCCGACTCTGGACATTTCATACACGTGGAATCATACTAGATGTGGTCTTTTGTGACCGGCATCTTTCACTGAGCATAATGTTTTCAAGGTTCACCCATGTTGTAGCATGTATTAGTATTCCATTCTTTTTTTATTGGCAAATAATATACTACTGTATGGATATACCACATTTTGTTTATCTAATTCATTCACCAGGAGCCCTGCTGGCACAGTGGCTAAGAGTTCGGCTGCTAATCAAAAGGTTGGCAGTTTGAATCTACCAGCCGCTCCTTGGAAACCCTATGGGGCAGTTCTGCTCTGTCCTATAGGGTCACTATGAGTCAGAATCGACTCGATGGCAAGGGTTTTTTTTTTTTTTTTTTTTTTTAATTTGTAACCCATTCACTAGTTGATGGACATTTGAATTGTTTCCACTTTTTGACCATTATGAATAACGCTGCTATGAATGGTCGCGTGCAAGTTTTCTGTAAACATATGTTTTCATTTCTTTTGTGCATTTACCTAGGAGTTGAATGGCTGGCTTCTATGGTAATTCTACATTTAGAAGCTTGAGCAACTGTCAAACTTTTTTCCACAGTGGCTGCATCAATTTACATTTCCACCAGCAATGTATAAGGATTCCACTTTCTTTACATCCTCACTGACACTTGTTATTATCTTTCTTTTTTATTATAACCAGTTTAGTGGGTGTAAAGTGGTATCTCATTGTGGTTTGATTTATATTTTATTAATGACTAATGAGGCCTCCCTGGGTGCTGCAAATGGTTAAGCACTCAACACTGGCTGCCTCAGAAGATAGGACTGGCGATCTGCTTCCAAAAGGTCATATCTTTGAAAACCCTGTGGAGCAGTTTTGCTCTATACGCATGGGGTCGCCATAAGTCTGAATCGACTTGACAGCAACTAACAACAACAACAATGACTAATGATGTTGAGAATTTTTTCATGTGCTTATTGGCTATTATATATCTTCTTTGGAGCAATGTTTAATCTTTTGCCCATTTTGTAATTGGGTTATTTATGTTTTTATTATTGAGTTGTAAAAGGTCTTTATGTATTCCGGACTCAAGTTCCCTTAACAGGTTTGTGATTTGCAAGTATTTTCTCCCATTATGTGGGTTGTCTTTTCCCTTTCTTGATGGTATCTTTGCAGCACAAAAGTTTTACAAGCTTCTTTTTTATATAACTTATGGAAGTTCGTATTTCAATATTTATCTTCTATAATAATATTGAAACTGGCATACTGTCATGGATTGAACTGTGTCCCTCCAAAATATGTGTCAACTTGACTAGGTCATGATTTCTTTTATTATGTGATTGTCTTCCATTTTGTGATCTGATGTAATTATCCTCCATTTTGTGATATGTTATAAATCCTAACCTTTATATGTTAATGAGGCAGTATCAGTGTGAGGTGTATCTTGAGTCATAACCTTACAAGAGGGTGTGACTCAAGTAACACTCTTATTCAAGTCACGCCCTTGCTCAAATCACACCCTTACTTAAGCCACACCCTTGCTTGAGTCATACCTTTTATGTTACAAGAGATAAAAGGAGTGAGAAGGGAGGGGGTACCTCATCACCACCAAGAAAGAAGATCTGAGAGAGAAGCATGTCCTTCAGACCCTGGATTCCTATGCTGAGAACCTCCTAGACCCAGGGAAAGTTTGATGCCAAGACACATGGAGATCTCTAAGGAACGCTGAGCCCACAGATGTTGAAAGGAGATAAGGACCTTCCCTCTGAGCCAACAGAGAGAGAAAGCCTTCCCCTAGAGCAGGTGCCCTAAATTCTAAGTTCTAGCCTTCTAGACTGTGAGAGAATAAATTTCTGTTTGTTAAAGCCATCCACTTGTAGTATTTCTGTTATAGCAGCACTAGATAACTAAGACACATACTTTCAGTGGAAGACTTGGCCTTGCACTTATTGACAAAAGGGAGGCCTTTAGTGTATAAAAAAACCTCTACTCTTAACCCTTCCTGCTGCATGACTGTTGATCTACATGAGCATCCATCCTCACCTCATTTCCTCCACACGTTCATGAAGTGAGGAGCACATCTTCCAGTCAAGGCCAACTCTCCACCTGGGGTCTTGCCCTGTCCTCTCTCCCTTCTTCCAGTACCTTGCTCCACCATCTAATCCCCCTCTCCCCTATAATTTTAACATTTCCCTCTCTATCTTCTCTCAGCCTAGGAACCAGATTAGCTTGCTTCCTACCATTTTGAGAAAAAATAAAACTCATGATCTGCATTGTCCATGTACACACCTCTATCGTGCATTTCGTTTACAGATATCTTCCAACTCAAGATGTCCAAATTAAATTCCCTTACTCATTCCAAATCTGCTTCACTTCTTGTATTTCCTTTCTTAGATAATGGCACCATTCATTACGCACCACTTACCCAAATCACACAAGACTCCTTCTGCCTCTTCTGCTCACTCTGGCCTGGTGAATTTTACCTCACATATATATCACAGTTCAAACCTTGGTGTCTTATACAAAAGCCCTAGTCTAAGTTATTATCTCTTCCCTGGTGATCAAGCCCTGGTCTTTCTGCTTCCAGTTCTGCCATTATTAAAATTCATTCTCCTTATAACATCAAGAAAATTTTATTTTTTTTTAAATGATATTTTTTCAGCATTTGAATAGGAGGTGGATGTTGTTAACTTACAGGATCTTGTGTTATTATTTATGTGACTTTTGATAACTTTCTTAGATTTCCTTAGGCTCAGAGCCCCATCCATAATATGAGAATAATGATGCTTAGTCTTCAAGTTATTGTGAGAATTAAATGAGAAAATACTTGGGTGTAGTAGGTGCCATGACATGACAGTGAGACCGTATTACCTCCTGGACTATGCCCGAGGTAAACTGCAGAGAAAACTGTGGACATGTGAGAGCTGTGGGGGGCCTGGCTTAGAAACAGGAGATGGGAGAAAGCCTTGGGGAACCCTTTAGAGCAAGAACATTGGTTTCCTTTTCTATAATATGGCATACCGTAAAAATTAAAAGAGATAATAAAAACAAAGCACAGGGTGGTTAGTAAATAATAAGCATGGGACGAAAAATAGAGAATAAACAACAGCAAACCCAAACAGAGCCAGCTAATAGACTAGTCCCTCTTTTGGTTTAAGTAGCCTCTGTTCCTTTTTTGCTGGCATCTGTTTTTTGTTAATCTATATATATTCTCCACCACCCCTTTGTCAGTTTGTCGTGCTGTGGTGGCTTGCAAGTGGCTGTGATGCTGGAAGCTATGCCGCCGGTATTTCAAATACTACCAGGGTCACCAGTGGTGGACAGGTTTTAGCAGAGCTTTCAGACTAAGACAAACTAGAAAGAAAGGCCTGGCAATCTACTTCCAAAATTAACCAATGAAAACCATATGGATTGCAACAGAATAGTGTCCAGTATAGTGCTAGAAGATGAGCCCCCTAGGCTGATTAGAAGGTACTCAAAATAAACAGTGGCCACAACCATGGACTCACAAATAACAACAATCATGAGGATGGTGCAGGATGGGCAAATATTTTGTTCTGTTGTATGTGGGTTCGACATGAGTCAGAACGGACTCGACAGCAACTAACAGCAACAGCATACATACTTTAAACAACAGTGTTTTTTAGTGTTGTTGCTGTTGTTCAAATTTCATCATTATAAAGGATAGTTAGCAGTGGGATAGCAGGGTGGTTGGGGGATGCCTATTTTTCAAGTTCAGCAGCAGCTGGTGATCCCCAGATGTTAGGTCTGCTGATTTGCTGGTTTTCAGCATGAGGGCAGTCTAGCTTTCAGCTTTCCAATCATGCTACCTGTCTTTCTTGCTGAATGCAGGCTGCATCAATCACAGTTTATCCTTTGAGATTCAGCAGAAGATCCTGATGGAGGAGGATGATAACCAGAGAGAGGAGCCCACGGAGGATGGAGTTGTTGATGTGCAACATCTCGGTAAAAACTCACACGGTGCACACTTCATTGTCAGAGATTTTCAGTAAATATTTACAATACCTACCCTCCACTATCCATAGTGGGAACGAGCCGGAATTTTTCAGCATAAACCTATGAGTCTAGCAAGCACCAGGAAGATAGCCAGGGGCTGGCAATCCTTGCCCAGGGCTCTGGTTACATGCTAATTTACAGGTTCCTTACCTCCCTGAAAGCATGTTGTGGTTTTGTTTAGACGAGATGCTAAATGACAGGGAGGCTGAAGTAGCTGGTGTGGAAAGGTCTTTTCCCATAGACTCATCAGTCATTCAAAAACCAAAGCCCAGATGAAAAGGGGGTGGGAACGGGACCCACAGAGAAAGGCATCACATATTTTAAGCTCTCTAGCAGAGCAGCTCATCCTTTCAGAAGGAAAGGGGATCCCAACTCAACAACTCCCAATTCAGAGAGCTTTTGGTGTTGGTTGATATCTTTGTAATGTTTCCCCTGGCACCCAAATAGAATAAATGGAATCACAAAATGAATACTTCCCTCATTATTGTTTATTATGCTAAAGATAAGACAGAGGAACTCAGGAATTTGCTGGGTACCTGGTTTTTAGTAATCCTCCTTAGCATTTCACTGTGACCAGCTGATCATTTTTGGTCTGTGGAGTCCTCTTCTGTTAAAGAAAGTATCATGGATTGAATTGTGTCCCCTCAAAAATGTGACAACTTGGTTAGGCCATGATTCCCAGTATTGTGTGGTTGTCTTCCATTTTGTGATTGAAATTTTATGTTAAAGAGGATTAGGGTGGGATTGTAACACCCTTACTAAGGTCACATGTTTGATCCAATGTAAAGGAAGTTTTCCTGGGGTGTGGCCTGCACTGCCTTTTAACTTACAACAGATAAAAGGAAAAGGAAGCATGCAGAGAGTTGGGAAACTGATATTACCAAGAAAGCAGTGCTAGAAGCAGAGCACATCCTTTGCACTTGGGGTTCCTGCACCAAAAAGCTCCTAGTCCAGGGGAAGATCAATAACAAGGACCTTCTTCCAGAGCTGACAGAGAAAGCCTTCCCCTGGAGCCGATGCCCTGAATTTGGACTTGAGAGAATAAATTTCTCTTTGTTAAAGCCATCCACTTGTAGTATTTCTGTTATAGCAGCACTAGATGACTAAGACGGGAGGGTTATTCCAAGCTAGATTTAATTTTTTCATTGTGCTAAATTCTGGAGATAAGAAGTTAAACTAGAAAGCCCCTTTAGCAAAGGAAGTTAAGTTTTGTGAGCAGATATGGAAGGTAAAACAAAAATTACAATACAACAGTGTGATTTTGGAGTCAGGAACAACGTTTTGGAGGGTGTGATTGCTGAATTGACTGTTCTGGGGGGAATAGTAGTTATGAGGGAAAAGGTGAAAGACTATGATGCATATGAATAACTAACTGCAACCATTTATATGATTTGAACTTTTGTCCCTTACAAGGAGCAAAGGGAAGAAATGGTAAGCTATTAAGTGGGAAAATAACCTGGAGTAGCCAGATTACATATTTTTTGTTTATTTATTTTCATGCTAAACCTGATTCAGGATTTATTTTATTCTAAAGATTTTGAGGAATCACTGAAGAATTTTAAGCACTGAAGTGATGAGATTAGTTTCAATATTCAGATTAGATTCATGTATTTATTCAACAAATATTTTATAGTGTCTGTCATACCTTAAGGTCTCTGAGTGGCATAAATGTTTTATACTCTACTACTAACCCAAAAGTTGGTGGTTCAAATCCACTGGTGATCTACTTTTGTAGACGGAGCACAGTTCTACTTGGAAACACATAGGGTAGCCATGAGTTGGAATCAACTGGGCAGTAATGGGTTTTACAGGTCATGTACTGGGGAAGGCACTGAAGATATAAATGTGGATAAGATAAAAAGAGTTCCTGCCCTCACAAAATTTAGAGTTTACTGGATTTAAAAAAAAAAGGAAAGAAAGAACAAAATAATTGCAGAGACTGGATTTAAGAGCTTATTACAATTTCCAGTGTCTTCCTACCCCCCCCCCCCATGACTGCCATAACTGCAAGCATCAAGGCATTAGTCAGGAACATCCCTATACCCCTGCCTCTCTTCTGGTCAAGTACATAGGGTCTCCAGTCTCTTGGGTTTGATATTCCTGACCCTTTTTCCAGAATGTAGATTTTAGCTTTCCCTCTAGGCCCTTCCACCTTTTATTGCCTTGAGAGAGCCTTCCCTACCACACACCCAAGGTCCCTCCAGCTCCAGGCCTAATGAAGCTCCATCTTCTCCTGGCCCCTGGGCTTGATTTCAGCTCTCTCTGGGAGTGAGAGTTAAGAATGCAGGTGAGAAATGAAGGCTAAGAACTTGGAGAGGAGAGTGGTATTGGCAGATATTTGACAGGTAAAAATAATATGATTTGGTGATGGATTTATAATAAGGGTTGAGGGAGAATGAGGGACTGAAGGAGTTTCCTCATTGGAGAATTGGATGACTAGATATCAGGGGGTGCTCTTTACTTAATTATGGAATCCAATAAAGAAGGAGGGTTGAGGGGTGTACAGAGGGGAAAGTGCTGATGATTCGAACATGTTGGATCCACTGCGCCCCAGGGACATTCCTGTGTACGTGTCTAGTATATGGTCATCACCTTCCCTCATGTGCACCCCTCAGTTCTTCTCCTTTCTTGTAATGAGGATTGTGGCAGTTGGAATGGAAAATAAGGGATTGCTATTTCCAATAGGATTAAAGCGTTCAACTATTTACAAAGTCATTGAGAATCTACCATGAAAGGCTAATTAATAGCCCATGAAAGATGAACCTTTCTTTTGGAGTGAATTGTTCATTAGGGGGAATGTTGCCATCTACCTACATGCATCCTTCAAAATTGCCTGTGTGAGGAATTTCCCACCTGGACAATCGCTTTGATAATTTCAGGAGCGAAGTAGGATGTGGAACAAAATTAGCTTGTGAAACAGGAAAACAGTAAACCACATCAGGGCTTGACGTGATTACACTGGTCATCTGTGCTCAACAGACTAGAGAAATGAAAAGCAATTAGATGACTTCCTCCCACTAGCGCTCCAACTGGAGGAGCCCTGGTGGTGCAGTGGTTAAGAGCTTGGCTATTAACCAAAAGGTTGGCAGTTCAAATCCGTCAGCCACTCCTTGGAAACCCTGTGGGGCAGTTCTACTCTGTCCTAGCGGGTTGCTATGAGTTGGAACCGAGCTGATGATACATAAAAACAACAGCACTCCACTAGTTGGGGGTCCTCAAGCCTTGACTGGGCTTTTTGGAGATGAAATAGAAGGAGAGCCCCAGAAAGCTCTGCCAGCAGGCCCGGGATAGGGGAGGGAAATGCACCCTTTAAACCTATCCATATTTGTCTTCTTGACTAGCAAGTTAATTTCAATGTATGTAACTTTCCTCTTGTGCATTGTTGGGTTGCTAAGCCTTTTAGAAAGCAAACTTAAATGTTAACATTAAAATGTATCTATATATACATACTCATGTTAAAGTTCTGAAGAGTCTTATGTTTGTCCTATAAATACAATACTAATACGTTAAAAATCAACCTCTAGAAATCTGCAATAAGGATGAGCTTTTAAATAGTGTTTTTTTGTTTTTCCTGGGACTTTTTTTGTTTGTTATTTCTATTTGAGAAACACAAAAATGAATTTTGATCATCTTCTTTAGGCATGTTTGTAACTCACAGAAACTCCTAGTCCTTGAGGATAGCCAGAAATTCAAGAGTGTCAAAAAGGACTGTGCTAGTAATAAGCATCACTGTCTGTATCTCAGAAATAAATGCTTCAAACAACCATTTAGAGCCTATTGGGCACTAGCATTACATCTCTAGACAGGGCTGGGTACTATATAATCATGTTTTTACTAGCTCTCTTTACAGCTCCTCTGGGAGAAACAATGCAATTATCCCCATACAGTGGAATATTTAAAAAGATCGAGCAAGTAGCTGCAAGCCCCAGGTGACAGAGCTGGTTAATTGGAATATTAAGTCACTGAGTTTCCAGTTCAACACTTGGCCCAACAACCAAATGTACCTATTTCATTTTTGCTTCTGGGTGAATTTCAGGATTTGGGACTATGGAGTCGTCATAACCACATAAAGAAAGCACTGCAGTCAGGATTGGGCAGAATGATTCAGGATCTTAGCTGGGGCCTTAGTGAATACTCAGTTGTGCAGCCTTGACCTGGGATTAATGTCTTTGTTTAGCATGCTAGGAAACAGTATGCGTTGCTGTTGAGTCAATTCTGACTCATAGCGACCCTAGGAAACAGAATGGGTATGACTTTATTGGGGTCTTTAAGTTCTGGGGCTGGAGGTCATCATTCTTTTTGATCCCAACCCTATATAATCAGGTCCCTCTTCCTACACAGCTGCTGGTGCTTCCTGTATTTGTTAGGCAAGGAAGAGCCAGTGCAAGTTCAGAGCAAGGAAATGACATAATTAAAATGGTGTCAGACCTGAAATCTAAATTCAAAGCCCCATCTTCCCTTTGCCCCCAAATCCAGCTCAACTCCCTCAGTCTTATCTCCTCCTCTTTGCCTGCCCTGCTGGGCCCAGGCTGGATTGCTCACCATTTCCCACACCTCCCTCAGCCTTGAGCTTCCCCTGCTTCACTCAGGCTGATTCCTCTGCCTGGAAGGCCCTGTTTTGCAATATGAAGATCACATACGTTATTTTTCCTGACAGTTTCACTGGGCAGTGATATGCCCTTCTCTGAACTCAAATAAAAATTTGCTTGTAACATTTGTTTACAGTGTGTATTAAGTTACATTATTACATTACAGTTACTTGCTAGGCAGTAAGCCCCTTGTATAGCAACACGTAATAAATGTCTTGTTATATCTCCATCTTCCACCCACTCAGGCACATTGTGTGGCAGAGTAGGTGCTCAGTGAATTCGCCTTTCTTCTAGTGTTCATCGTGTTCAGAATGCAGGCTATGGCTCTGAGTCGTCAGAAGTCTTCAGTGCAGTGAAGTCTGTATGTATCGGGCGTGTCAGTTCGGAACACTGGTCCCCGCCCAAGGTGGCTGACTGAATGGATGACTCATTAAGGAAAAACTTGAAATCAAGTTATGAGATAACTGGAGGGCTAGTGAAAGTTAGATGAAAGGAAAACAAAGAAGAGCAACAGGGAGAAGAGAAGCTGAGGTCCCTGTAATGTCAAGTACCTGATAGGAAGTTGGCAGAATCAGAGGCTCAGTTGGGAGCTGCTGGAGAAATGCATTTTTTTTTTCCTGTGATGAGCAGATAAGATGCAAAGAAAATTCCTTGTTCTAAGTCTACCATGCTTGAAAAGTAGAACAATTCAGGGTCCTC